CATGTTCAGATTTGACTATTCACCAAACTTTCTAAAATGGTCAGTGTTTTTCATGTTGCTTGTGTTTACTACTTTGCAAAGGATTTTCAAAAGTAAAAAAATAATAATAATGAAGTTTGTTATTGAACTGCACGCTCACTTCATATTTCTCCTCCTGCAGGGCTCTGCGTCCACCTGGCTGGTTACCACAGTGGCATTGTGGAGTGAGAGTGTCCTCGAATAAGAAGCTTGTTGGCTTCATCAGTGCCATCCCTGCAGATATACGAATCTATGACATGTGAGAACACAGTACTGATCATGAACATTTTTCATCAGAGCAGTGATATGATACAGTAGAAACCATTTTGCTGTGATTCACACGTCTCCTTTCTATCTGCCGCTCCAGAGTGAAGAGGATGGTTGAAATCAACTTTCTGTGTGTCCATAAGAAGCTTCGTTCAAAGCGTGTTGCTCCTGTGCTAATCAGAGAAATTACACGGAGGGTGAACTTGGAAGGAATATTTCAGGCAGTATACACAGCAGGAGTGGTGCTTCCTAAACCTGTGTCCACATGCAGGTATGCCAAACAAAACATAAAGCATGGCATCTGAAAGTAATTTAAAACTCTTTGATTCTTTGTCTCATTCTTTATGTATATTTTTCAGGTATTGGCATCGTTCCTTGAATCCCAGAAAACTTGTGGAAGTGAAATTCTCTCACCTGAGCAGAAACATGACCCTGCAAAGAACCATGAAACTCTACAGACTACCAGATGTAAGCACTTGCCTGTGCCTGTCAGTCAAAGCTCTTAATAATGGAAGGAACTTAATTAGACTTTTATCTCAACACCCCCCTACAGAGCATCAAGACTCTGGGTTTGCGGCCGATGGAGAGGCGTGACATCCCACAGGTAACCGAGCTGCTGCAGAAATACCTGAGACGTTTCCAACTCGCACCTTCTATGGGAGAAGAGGAGGTGGCTCACTGGTTCCTGCCACAGGACAACATAATTGACACATATGTGGTAGAGGTATTTAGAATCAGTTTCTTCCCTCAAGATACTGACAGAACTTCTGTTGTTTCTTCTTTTTCTGCTTAACTCACTTCTTTCTTTTTTTTTCTTTTTTTTTTACATCTCTTCAGGGAGCTGGTGGTGTACTGACAGATTTCGCTAGTTTCTACACTCTGCCCTCGACAGTGATGCATCACCCGCTTCACAGGAGCCTGAAGGCTGCTTACTCTTTTTACAACGTTCATACACAAACCCCACTACTGGATTTAATGAATGATGCACTGATCCTGGCCAAACTGGTATGTTCATCCTATTGTAATACACAAACCACTAACACATATTTAAAGATGCCATTGTCACTCCAGAGGAGAATTTCTGCAAATACCTCAAAAGGCCCCCCGTTAATAATGAGGTCATTCTTGGTCATACCAACCAAATTCAAACCAAAACTTTCCTTTCCCTGATTAAGTTTTTGACAACATGTTGTTTTGTGTGTTTTACAGAAAGGGTTTGATGTTTTCAATGCCTTGGATCTAATGGAGAATAAAGTGTTCCTGGAGAAACTCAAGTTTGGCATAGGAGATGGAAATCTGCAGTATTACCTCTACAACTGGAAATGTCCCTCAATGGACCCTGATAAGGTCAGCAATAAGAGTTCTTGTCCTAGCCTGTAATCATTTCTATCATCACCCTGCACTGTCCTGTGTGAAGACTCAGTAATAAGAGACCCATTAGGTGCTGCATGAATATATAAACTAAGGGTTAAGTTTTGTACTGGTCACAAAAGGCTGACATCTGATTCACAATGTCTTAATACAGATTATATTTGCAGTAGTGCAGATCTTTTTAAAATTCCTACTTCACTTTTACTCTATAGTGGTCATATACTGAAGCTAAGCTGAGCTAGTTTTGTCCGTCACCTTGTTCAGTCAGCAAACAGTTTGCCATAGTTACAACCCACGGATGGTTTTTGTGTGTCATACAACAACAGGTAAACTCTGTCTTGTTTTTGTTTTGTCAGGTTGGCCTGGTTCTTCAGTAGCAGACCTCCCTTATCCAAGCTGCTACACAAACACTGATCAAGAGGTCAGAAGTCAGCAACCTGTGGCTATTCCTTACCTGGACATACAGGTAGCCCAAGCTAGACAATGAGAACTACAACAGAAAAAAAAAACAACAACCCCTGGGAGGCGGTTCAGCCGGCACTCATGTCATTAAGAACAATTCTCTGTTCACCTGGAGGTGAAAACTGAAATCATCAACATCCTGAATGTGAAGTCATGCTATGCCTGAGATACTCATACAGTACAATGCTCCTGACATGCACACTCCCATTTAAAACACATCAGTTTGACAAACCAGAGGATGCCCTGATGTTGTGAGTTATTTTTAGTTCTCCTCAGCAGACGCCTTCTTAAAGGACTGGCATGTTATTTTTAATTTAACTGATATTGAACTATGTAAATGATAATCAATGAACATAAACATGACTACATTACAAAATGACTAGTTTTTGTGCCCAACCTGCAACTGCACACTTGCAGAGGATCTTAGAGGCAACTGATGAGTTAATGTTTGCATACCGTCTCATATCCCTGAGGACGGGAGTTTCTCTGCTGTTTTTAGCCCTCATTAGAAAAGACATGAATGTGTTTCTTCGAAGGCTACGCGTAACGATTCCTTTACCTCAAGGATTCTTTTGATTATGATCAACATTTACATGAAAAATATGTTCACACACACACACACACACACACACACACAGACAAACACATGCATTCACACAAAGGAAGGACTCATTCAACTGGTGCATTGATAAACCTGTTTCTGTTGAAAATATATAGTGACCTGTACATTTAAAGCCAGATCATATTTATTCCTGTAGTGTGAGTTTGGGGTTCGGGAGGGCTGATCCAAAGTATTTTCCTCCAAAGTAGAGTAGGTGTTACTGAGTTTGTTCAGAACATGTGGGTTTTAGTGGTTTTTAAATGAAGAATGTATTGCCTCAAAGAAGCACAATCTTTTTTTTGAGTTCATTAACAAGCAAAAGGGTCTATATTTATTTTATTTTTTTTAAACGGGTCAGATTTCAACACAGGCTGTACTGTACAGACTGTTCAACCTCGTTTGTTTGTTTTTTAACAAAGGATTTGAGCTATCTTATCTTACAAACTCTTCTCTAGAGCTGAATGGGGATAGCAAATTTGCTGAAATGGAGAAAAAAGCAACTAAAAATAAGGATGGCATGTTCAGTGCACAAGCATGTAAGGAACAATTTACGACAACGGCTAGGAAAGAGAAATAAGGTTTAAAATACAGCCAACAGTATTTTATTTAGATTTTGTATAAGAGACTTCTCAGAATAGATGTAGTGCTGGTCTAAAGACAGTTTGGTAGTTTAAAGATGGATGACTAACCTAAAGAAAGAGTAATGTTCAAAGCAGCTTGATTGGTTCTCTTTTTTAATTTAGTCATTTTCAGTATGTTGTCGGTCATTACTTCTATCAGCATAGAACTGAGTGCGATGCCCATACAGCAGCTGATGTTCAGAAAAGGTTCAACACATGGCTCATAAAGAACTTTGTGTACGTGAACAGTGATCCCCTCGCCTGCTGCAGGATATTTGTGTTCTCAATCAAACGCTGTTTGGTAAAACAGAACTGAGCACAAGATCAAAGTGTTATGGGAAAAGTGAATAAGCTATTATTTGGAGAACAGTGGATGCATTTACAAAAGCCTGTAGAAGAAACAGCATCTTTTTTTAAATAAGCATTTCCCTGATTTTCCGGGTCCATTTTTATTGACTTCTTTGGATGTTTTTATTTTTATTTTTTATGGTACTGTATTTGTTTATCAAAAAGAAAATACTGTCGGTCATTTTCTCAGTGTGTTGTGTGGCCTGAAGTGTGAAACAGTTCAGATATTTATTAATGTACTTGGCAACATTTCTGAATACATCATTTGTGTTGTTTTCTTTGGAGCAATGTCCTGAACTTTCATGTAAAAAAAAAAAGAAAAAAGAAAAAAAAAAAGAGGGTAAATTAACAGAAAATGTTTTGATTTTTCCCCAGCTACTTGGCATTTCTCTGTGCAAGATCTTTGATGAAAAGCTGTTGTCGGACCACTTGTCTTGTTTTTGTTTTGGGAGCTGCTGGTGTACTCAGAAGTTACACATCTTTTATAATTGACTTTTTGCTCTGAGTTTGTAACTTTACGTCTGATGTCTGCATTACTGAAGAAGTTGAGGCTGCTGCCATTTTCGTTGTCTCTTTTTACTGTCTGTGATGTAGTTTCTTCTCATCCCTTTATATATTATTAGCAAGTAAAGACAACCAATAGTCAGTGCTTGAGGGTGTAAAGTTCTTTTTTACCCTTGAAAGGTGAACGAGTTTCCTTCACAAACGGCATTTATTTATCACTGAAGCTGGGTTGAGTCGACAGTGTGCCTCATGGATGCTGGTTGTGTTACACATGTGTTGCCTGCAGCTGTTTGAATGAACTTTGAGCATGTCAGTTGTGCTGCCACGATGATCTCTACATTGTTACTTGCCACACCCTTTAGTGAGAACTCAAACCCGAGGTACCTGCCTTATTTAAAAGATGTTTTGTTTTTTAATCAAGATTTTTGGGGGGATGGGAGGGTGAACTTTTGAAATGACATACAGCTTTCTCTAACTGAAGAACAATATTTTTATTCAAATCCATTGTAAGCTGTGAAAAAGCTGAAGACCTTGTACCAGCATCATTTAGACATGACCCCATGCAAATAACAATCTGATTCAACACACTTGTCAGCTATACCAGCATGGATATTTGATCGAATAAACTCACTTTAAAAAGAAATTCGACTGATGCCCTTCTTTTAGAACATTACTGAAATACTTGATTTTATTTTACGGTTAAAAAAAACAAGGTTCTTAAATGAACTCAGCCCAAATACATTTTTGTGGCCGGGATCTGAAATGTATTTCAAACAGTTTCACTTCTACAGAGGAGCATGAAACATATCTGTTGTTTACAGGTTTAATTAAATCAGTTGACATAGTATAAGCTTTGTCTGTAACCAATTTGCTTTCACTCTGAAATGTATGTCACACAAGCATTCAAACTATCTCTAAACAATTCATTTTAAATCATGTTAACTGCCATCCAGTCTTTCAAACACTGTCTATCAAGAGTTCTATGAACACTGTTATGTACTCATCTCCAAGTTTAAAACAGACTGCTCTCAGAGTGATCTACAAAGCATAAGCAATGATTCTGATAAACCAAAGGGGAGAAAAATTAATTCAGAAAACGTACACTCACATGCATGGTGTGTTTTGATAAATAAAATAAAAAACTTCCACAAAATGTTTTTTTTGTAACCTTAGTAGAGTACATTTTCTAAAATTAAAAGAAAATAACTTAACTAAAAGCTCATATTTAACAACCTTAATAGAAAAGGCTGTAGGCTTTTAAAAAAGGGCTCACAAGTAGACTACACCTCATTTTAAGAAACACATGGAAGCATCTAGCTTTAACTTTCAAAAAACAAAGGAACACCTCTTCTAAAATGAATGTTGATTTTCTGTTTTGTATAACAAACTATGACTTAGCCTTCCTTTTTCTTTTCTTTGTAGGATTAGCCACTATTCTCTTGACTTTGAGAGGTTGCAGGGTACAGGGGGAGGCAGACTCTGTGACCTCAGAATCACTTTCTAGTTTCCTTTTCTGTCCCTTCTTTTCACCAGCGCCCTCCTGCTCCTCTTCAGGGTCCACAGAGACTTCAGGTTTAACACTCCGTGCTGCACCTTTTAGCCAGGTGACATCTGGTGAGGGCACTCTGGGTGTAATGGCCTCAACGGTGTCAGTGAATGCCTCATCATCCTTGGAGGCGCAGCATCTGAACCCCAGCGCGAGGACACTTTTCAGCCCAAGCGGCACGGACAAACTCTGACTCAGTCGAGGCACCTGGCAGGCCGGCACACCTCTTGTTGCACTTAGAGCGATAAGATGATCTGTCATGTGTTTCGGCCTGACAGACTTGCACACCAGCAACAGTTTGAGCTCGTTTCTCTCTAGAGCTTTGGTGACCTCGTTGATGCCGATGGCCAGTTGTCTTCTGGCTGCCACATTCGTCCAGCCGTTTTTCGGAGAGCCCTGCACTGCAGCGTCTTTGCTCACCTCAGGATGAGGCTCTGTTATGGAGATAGGATTCTTCTTGTCTTTCTTTTTCTTCCAAGGGCGAAACACTTTCACCTCTTTCTTCTCAAGACCAGTGGAAACCAGCTTGTCCGTCAGGGTATTCAGGATAAAATGCATGTCTTCTTGGGGTAGTGGGCTCCATTTCGGAGTGAACGGTGAGGTGAAGGAAGTCTTGGATGGAATTGTTTTTTTTATTTCCTTTTTTATTTGCTTCCCTGCAGTAGCCATTCCTCCACTTCTGAAAGAAAGTGTACCAACAAATGAAAACAGATATACCAGCATATGACAAACAAGGGGCTCATTACTGGGTCTTTAGATAAAATACATCATAGTAAAAAAAGATTGTTACACCAGAATTTAATTTTTAAATGTGCTTCCGTTTGGAAAACACCTGTTTAAACGTGCTGTTGTGTTCAGAAATAATAAACTTTAAACATTGCTAAATAACGATGTATACTGAATGAGAAATAGATTAAATATTTAAAGGCTAAACAACACATCTAAAGTATTTGTTCAACCTTTAATGATTCATTTGGAAGGTTTGTTGTTAAAGACAGTCATTTTTTCCAATAATACGTGAATGAATCGGTCCAAAATCCACTGAAAAGAGGTTACATCGAGTTATATTAAATTTGCACTTTACTGTCTTATCATGACCGGCGGGTTTTACTGAATTCTCTCGGTATTAAACGAACATATATTAATATTAATGTTTAATAATAATAATAATTACGTGTCTGTTATCTAGTGAGGGCACTCTGGGTGGTCTGGGAAGAAGTTATTTCTGTGAGTTATGTTAAGAGCAGCTTTCAATGTCATTCAGTTCGTGTTAGATAAAATAAAATAAAACATTTTGAATCCTGAAGCAGATATTAGTGATTAGTCAACACGTCTCTTTTTTTAACCACACAGACGTTTTGACAGGCAACAGATTTGTCAACAAATTAAAAGTATCATTGAGTTACTCTACCTGAGTTTTAATCAAACAAAAGCAAGTTTCTTTGATGAAGTTAAAGTCCTGTTAAGATGCTCAGTCCAACTGCACAGTATGCATGGTAACAGGGCGCCGCCATGTTGAAGTTGTCTTCTTCTTCTTCCTCTTATAGCAAACCAGAGGTGCATTACCGCCACCAACTGGACAGGAGATGAGACGAGTTGACAGTAATAAAAATAAAGAAAGAAAAAAAGGACCTGAGGCCTTCTAAATTCTTCTAACTAAATCAGATTTTTTTTAAATACATTTTTTTAAACAATCTAACTGTATATTTTGGCTGCTGTTTTTCTAAATAGTTCTGACAAAAAAGTTCTGATGTTTTGCTTTCTTTAATGACTGAACCAGGCTGTCATTCTATCATATTTCCTGCAATGAAGTAGTCTATGTTTTACTGTTTCTATTTAGTCCCAATATGAACAGATCCCAATTTCATACTTGCCAATTCTGTGTTGGAAAAATAGTATTTAAAAGTTCCCACAGCGCCGACAAGTGTTCAGTTAACAATATAAACTATACATTCAATTGGCTATAATTCAGTATATGCAGGCCTGGCGCTCGAGATTTATGACATCACATCATTACATCTTTTTAAACCTAGCCTATATCTTTTTTTATTATATGGATAATTTAAACTCACCTTTTTCTTACATGATAAGTGGGTGAAAAAAATGTGATTATCTTAGAAATAATACGCCCTGTGTTGACTGGACTCTAGCAGGATTGCAAGAAAGAGCACTGCTTACTTACTTGTTAAAAAATAGCTGTTTTGATATGGCCCTCGCACATTGTACCTTTTGTCCTTGCTCCAGGATTTTGTCTAATTTCATTTGCCTGATTTATTTTTTTATTTATGTAGCACAATTTTGAAATCTTTGGAATTTTTATATTTATATAAAATCCCCCCCATTACGGATGCGTATTGCATTCATGTGTGGAATTGTTTTTAAAAATATTACGAAATAAAGATCTTTTTATAACGAGATAAAGATCTCGTAATTACAAAAAAACAGGCAAAACAAAAAATTCCCCACATGAATGCAATAAGCTACCGTACCCCATAGACTTATATAGTTTTTTTTTGTATTTTACTATGTGTAAGTTTATTCTCGGCGAGATTTTGTAGTAATATTTTTTAGTTTATTAGCCTATTATATATTATTGACTATCTTTGCATGCTAATATGGGTCAGTTCGGGACAGTAGGCCTAAATCCGACTAAAAATAAAATAGAGCGAGATTAAATGTAGCATGCAAATTTAACACACACAAAAAAAACAAATACATGCACAAAGTCCAGTAGCCTATTAGTATTTGAATTGGTCCGCATCAGGCCTATAACTCTGTGTGTCCGTGCCTGCGTGCGTTTCTGTGCGTAAGAGAGAGACAGGCAGCCAATCACAGGTCGTGAGCAGCTCTCTTCTCCCTCCTCTGCAGTCCGCTCGTCTACAGACAGTCTCACATTGATCAGCTGTGCTGCAATTACAGCTGCGCAGATCCGTCTAGCAAACAGGGAATATACTGTACATTTATCTGAACTGCGGAGCTCCAGCTGCGAAAATGTCTAATCAGGTACAGTATAACTACATTTATTATCATTTTATTCTTCAGTCTATTGTATGTTGAAGCTTATAGCAATGATGGAAATAACGGTTTTAGCAGAGGGGTGTTAAGCCAGATAGTGAGTGTCATACATATTTGACAGGGTGGGATGGGTAAAGGCGAGTCTGAACAAAGAGGCTTATTCATTTGCTCCAGTATCCTTAAGGTGCTGCAGGTGTTATATACAGGTTCTGGCTATTAATATTGTTAACACTGTTAATATGTGACATTATTTTAGCTATTTCAATGGTAGCCAATCAAAATGATCAAAATCCTACATTTTGGTAGTTTGGGGTTTCTGTGCATGTCCTTTGGTCCATAATGATCTGTTCTGCAATGTCCCAGATCCTTGGTAAAGTAGATTATTCAAGTTGGCACAAAAGCACTAGAGCCTTGAATAAAAGCCCATTGTTTAGCCCTAACTTGTGCAACAATAGGTTTCCCGGGCTCTGCACCCTGACCGGAATACTACGCTCAGATCTTTCATTCGTGTAATCTTTAACTGATTTATATGCACTCTCTCATATACTGTGATTGATATTCCCATCCACTACCTTAGCTGGATTCACCTGAGTGGACCCTTTACATATGTGCTTATCTAATGACAACATTATAGCAAAGTTTGGAATTGTTCATCAGAAATACACCAAGTTACTTGAATGTTTCTTTTCTAAACATCTTTTCCATGTAGGCAGAGTTTGAGAAGTTGGCAGAGGACGTGAAGAATGTGAAGACTAGGCCTACGGACCAGGAGCTCCTTGACCTGTATGGCCTTTATAAACAAGCTATTGTGGGAGACATCAACACAGGTGTGACTTGCCTCAGAAAATCAGAATAACGTACACATAAAGTTCAATAAATTCTGAACATTTCCTCCCAACTGTTTTCTATTACACATTTTAGAAAGACCAGGGATGCTGGACTTAAAGGGAAAAGCCAAGTGGGACGCCTGGAACTCCAGAAAAGGTGACAAGGTTTAAATGCATGTAGATGTAAAACAGTAAATTAAGCTTGTTGCTTAGTATAAGCAGCGATTTACTGTCAGTTTGAAGAACTTAAGATGTGAGTATTCAAGTTTAGATAATACCAAGTGTTCAGTGATGATAGCCACATGCAAGGCTGTATGGTTTTGTGTTCATATGAATATCCTATTTATACACACATTTATTTGGATTGGATATTTTGATTTTTTTTTCTTAAGCAGGTATGTTACGTTACATGTTCATCATAAGCTAAGCATGTTAGCATGCAAAGCATTGCTTCAGTACTTTGCAGATTATGTTAGTTTTACTAAAATGTATTCATAAACAAAGAACTGGACATGTTGAACTTTTGATTTCAGTTTTGTGTTATTGAAATATCAAAAACAAAGAAAGATGCCATTAAAGTGATCACAATTGATCAAATGGGGAGTAATTAATGTGTGTAATGAGTTTTATGAAATCAGTTTTGATGCAAAATTTCACACAAAATCCCTCTTTGCCTTCTTAATAATGACAATTTGTATTTATGCACTCTTTTAGGAATGTCTAAGGAAGATGCCATGACAGCCTACATTACACTTGCAAAGGAAATCATTAGCAAATATGGCATGTAAGGATTGCAATAACCTCAAGGGACTTAACACAGACACTGTCTACTAACTCAATAAAATGCTGCTGATATCAGCCAGTAGCCTTCTGCATTCAAAGTCCGTAATAACGAAATTAAACTTCATTATGCACTTTTTGTGTGTGTGTGTGTGTGTGTTTTGTTGTCATGAAGCCTACCTGATAAACATTTGGTTGGACGAAATAAAAAAAAAATAAAAAACTCAATGCAACGTAATTAAAACTAAAAATGAGTTGAATCAACACTGTTGTGACTCAGGTTTAGTTACAAAATCTGAGCTTTGTAACCTTTTGTAGGTAGGATTATTGCAGGACTTTTGTATTAGTCTGCATCAGCCTGCATGTGCCAAATATCCAGCAACTGAGAGTATCTACTCAGAACAAGGACTAAAGTGTTGTTCTATACCTAATCACAGCAACAAAACATTTTGTCAAATCACATGAGAATTGTTTTCAGACATATATTCCGTTATATACTGATAGGTTTACTGAAAAAAATACACAAAGGTAATCAGGCAGGGGTTCTAAATATGTTTAGTATTGTAGTTTATTTATAGTCTATTGTTTAATTTATCAGTGAGTCTGATTGTCTACAGTACAGTATAAAGCTTGAGTATTGGATTGTGTGTAGATAACTCACTTATTTGAGTTTAATAACTCACAGCCAATAAATATCCCGCAGCAGTGCTCATATTTCACTGATAAAATGTAGGTCAAGCGCAACCGCTCGCGCATGCGCCGTATGGTCTTCCGGGCTGGCTCGCGGGACCTCTCGTTCAGTTTAGTGGGGTAAAGGTGAGGAGAGCTGACGCGGACAACAACACACTGGAGCTCGTCACCATCCTGCTGAAAGAGAGGTACCTGCTCACTGTGGATGCAGAACGCCTGAGGTAGCAGAAACTGAAGGAGGTAAGCTGCTAGAGGAAGCGTGTTTTAAACATAGACTGTAAATATTACAGGTTTAAAAGCTCGGGGGGGGGGGTTTGTAAATCAGGTTCATGTCGGTGTTATTGTTAAAGCATCAACCGAGAGAGAAACCTTAGCTATCTAATGGGTAATGGGCTGCAGTGAGCTTGCACACCGGACACCATTAGTTCAGTTTAAATAAATAACGCTGCACAAGTGAAACCCTCGTCGTGTTATTCCTTTATATCCATCAGTATCTATCTGGACTTCTGTTGAACTGGGCCGTGGGTGCAGAAGTGTGTTGTCTTGTTGTTCTCATATAAGGAGATTCAATTCAAACAACTTTATTAATACCTCTAGGGTGGAAATCAGTTCGGAGCAGGTTGTACATAAAATACATGATATAAACAACATAGAAGAGCTAATGTGAGAGAAGACAAGATCTAATAAATAATACTAATAAACATAGAAACATTATTTTTTTGTTTTACATCCATGATCTTAGAACAGATTTGAACAATATTGGTCAGAATGCTTCTGTCTCTAACCCTGTGGTTGTAAACCAGCTTATAAAAGAGGATGTAACTTTAGTTCTCTTTTCACATGGCTTTGATAGAGAAAGCAACACAGCCTTAGGACGCATTTGAAAGCAGACAAACAAGCAAAATGGGACATTTGAACCAGCAGGAAAAGTCGCCTTCTTAGAGGTTTTCACAAACTCCAAAGCTAACTTTGTTTACAGAGGAATTTAAAACTCTATCCTGCTGTGTGTACCTGCTCAGGACTTATGTAACAGATCAGCGTGACAAAGAACCCCAGTGGAAGAGGGTTTAGCATTACTCTTGTTAAATGATCATGAACTAATTAGTCTAATGGTCTTATAGAAGTGTTCAAGGATGAAATAAAACAAAGTTAAACTCTGAAAAATGTTTATTTTGTTGAACTTTTTTTTTTTAAATAGCTTTACAAGCTTTGTTGTTTAACAATAAAACATTTTAGTAGTTTTTGGCTTTCCCTAGTTTCTCTAGTGTGAAATATACAGTTTTTTTGTGATATAATAGTGAACTAAATTTTATTTAGGAATTTTCGCAAGTTCGACTAAACAAAAAATATGAAGATGTTACTTTTGACAGTGAAAAATTACAGACATTGTGTCACAGAACACATTTACATTCATAAAAATGTAAGACAAGACACAAAGATACAAACAAATACCACAACATTCAAACATCGGACAAATATTCAGAGGCCTCCCTTTAACCTACTTATTATCTGGGCGCCTTGCTATGTAGACTTATCTAGTGTTTATTATAGACTCTCACTCGCCAGAATGAACAGATCTGTTATCCACACTGTTGGCCGTTCTGTTCCATAGTTTTTTTAATGTGACATCATTTATTATTATTAACATGTAAATCTTACTATTGTAGATTGTTTAATAGTTGCTTTGTGTTTCAGGACAAAGAAATGGCCAATAATTTGCCACACTCTCTGCCTGAGCGGACTTTCCAATACCAAAGCAGCCTGCCATCCCTGCCTGTTCCGACACTAGGGATCAGCCTTTCAAAGTATCTGGATGCAGGTAGGATAGAAGCTTTATACATCATGCTGTGCCACTGAGTAACACTATAACACTCTTCCTTTTAAACTGTTAAAGGCAAGACAGTACGATGTTAGCACCTTGAATACTCCTGAAAGTTATTGAACAAAGTAAACCGTTAGTTTAATACAATGAATGAATGGATCCACATGTTTTAACCTGAGAGAGGATTGATATGTACCGAACAATAACCAGATGCTGGCGCTCTTAATTTACAAATGAACCAATTTGCTTCCCTTTGTTTTTATCAGTTCGCCCATTTGCATCTGAGACGGAGTATAAGGCTACATTAGACATTGTGAAGAAATTTGAAGTGGGTGTTGGTGAAGAGCTGCACCAGAAGCTGCTGCAGAGATCCAAGGCAAAGAGGAACTGGGTGTGTTAAAAAGCATGAAAAGTATTTTTATTGTTGTAGATTTCCTATTTAGTGATGCATGTTTTACTTAGTTGAGTGTTTTTTTTTATTCTCAAGCTGGAAGACTGGTGGTTAGATGCTGCGTATTTGGAGCTTCGCACCCCCTCTCAGCTGACTGTGAACTTTGGTGGTCCGGCACCCTACCTGGAGCACTGCTGGCCTCCTGCTGAGGGAACTCATCTGCAGAGGGCGAGCATAGCAACATGGCATACACTCCAATACTGGAACCTGATCCGCACGTAAGACATGTTTACATTACAAACAAACATTTTTTTTACAAACTTTTTCTGTGTTCCACATAAGATGCTTCCCCTTTCACATCTTTTTCTCACGCTTGTATGTTTTAGGGAGACGCTGCCTCCTCAGAAAGCTGGTAAAACAGCGTTGGATATGGACCAGTTTAGAATGCTCTTCTGCACCTGCAAAGTACCCGGGGTAAAGAAGGACACCATTTACAACTATTTTAAAGCAGGTAGGATGAAGTTAAGCTCTTATCTCTGACTTTTGGACTGGCCTGTATACTCTCCAGCCCACTTTCATATGGCTGTTGTGTAATGTGCATTTTGTGCTGTGTTACAGAAAGTGAGGGTCCGTGCCCATCCCATGTGGTAGTGATGTGTCGAGGACGGATCTTCACATTTGATGCACTCTGTGATGGAAAAATCCTCACTCCTCCAGAACTACTCAGGTAGCAATTAACCTCAAGTACACAAATCAATCAAGATTGAAATCCAAATATAAAGCCTAGCATAAAAGGGAACTAACTTCCTGTTGAGTTGCTACATGAACTTTTGACATACTAAAAAAGAATGCATTCTGCTAATTGGCCCAAAGAGGGCGCTACATCAACAGTATCTGAGAACTTCAAAAAAATTGCAAAAAGGCAACTACAATTGTGTTATCACTGAAAGGAGAAAATACAGTAACTACATCATACATTTGTGGAAGTCTTCAGGTAAAGAAAAGTTCAACATCTGTACTTTTTTTTTTGCAAGAGCCAGGATTGATGTGACATAAAAAAGTGGACAAGAAAGAGAAAAGATCTTAGTCATTCCATATTTAATGATGTAGTTTTTTTTCAGTTATTGACTGCAGGATTAGGCTTTCAAAGACGTTTTTTTTACATGGTTAGTTTTCTTCATACAAAGTTCACCTTCATTATTTAATACTTTGGCCAATAGGCCATTTAAACCAGACATCCAGTTTCAACCTCTGTGCTGTTAAAAAGGTCTAAAAGTCTTACATTCAAATGGATAGACTCTGCAGAAACACTGTAAATAAAAGTTTGCTGACATACGCCCTAATGAGATTTATGCAAAGCATCACTGTTTCAGTGTTTTCTTCTATTGTTTCATGTGTGTGATATAGGCAGCTGAGCTACGTGGAGAAAGTCTGTGAGGGAGAGCCCGAGGGAGACGGAGTGAGCGCTCTCACCACAGAGGAGAGGACTTGTTGGGCGATGGTAGGACTGCTAAAAAAAACAATTGGACATTTTGTTGTTTTTCTACAAATAAGATCTCTGAAAGAGATTATTGATTACATTTATATAAAAAAAGAGTGCATGTGAACATCAGTGGTGTTACTGTGAATGTGTTCACTGTCTCTGTAGGCCAGGGAGCATCTAATAAGCATTGATCCACACAATAAGACCATCCTGGAGACCATCCAGAGCAGCCTGTTCGTCATTTCTCTGGATGAAAGCAAACCATACTCCTCGGCAGAGAACTACACAAATGTACGGGCTGTGTGATTGCATGACTGTCTGTTCATCGACTGTTTTTCTTAAAGAAAAGAGCTGTGTGTCTGAGTGTGTGTCTCACCCTTCCTAAACACAGATGGCACGGGAAGCCCTTAAAGGAAACCCCACCATCCGCTGGGGGGACAAATCGTACAACTCACTTGTGTTCTCAGACGGCACTTTTGGATCCAACTGTGATGTGAGTTAGAAAGTCATTTTTTACTCTACTGTGTAAAAGCTTCAAAAATGAACTCTGAAGAGGTTAAAAGTCTTAATCCCTCTAGCCTACTAGTACTATAGTAAACTATAACCCAGTTTGGGAGTGAGATTTGGACATCTCTATAGATGATGCAGAATGGCAGGAGGTTTGGATCAAGGCCACACATATTTATATCTGTAATGGAACCAGATCAACTCAGTTTAGACTTAACATAATATGACAAAACACCTGAGACACAAAATGGGTGTTATGGTATCTTCACTTTGCTGTATGTGCAATTCTGAAATCAGAAATAATTTTCATTCTTTCTGGTCATGTGCTGAGTTGCATAGATATGGGTCTGACATTGTGTCTGAATTATGTTATTTTTGGTGTTTACAGTATATTCACTTAAACACCATGGCCCTCCTCCTTGGTCTTCATGATGTTCGTATGACAAAAACCTTTTAGTCTACCGACTTTTGCAGCAAAGAAAAATATTTACTTGTGGAAAATGTGTATACAGTGTGACAAATACAAGATGGTCACTCAACTGGAGAGTAACCGCGTATGTCAGTGCGTCACCGCTTGACACTCTGGAGAGTGATTTTGCTTGTTGTAATCCATATAGCGCACTCTGCTGCTGACAGCCAGAAAGAGATTATGCTAGTGTAATACAGTGAAACTTAAATGAAATGATATTTGACTGGTTAATAAATCTAGTAAAATCTACAATAAAATTAGCCGATAGCGATAGTCCCTGGATAAGATAATAATGACCGATATTATCAGCTGGCTGAGTAATTGTTCGGGCTCGAGAATGAATCCTAACAAATAAATATCACATGTATGCTTCACTCATCTGTTGATCATTTCTACTGTATAAAGTGTGGGACCCTTATGTAGTACATACCGGCCCTATATTGTCATCTTTAATATTACATGGAGGTCTTAGCTTCTCCTCTTGCCTTCTCTTATTGTAATGCTAACCTTCCTGTAGCCTCACCTTTTCTTTATACTTTGTTGATGCTGCATTCCTGTGAAGTAACGATTGAAAAACCGGGGACTTAGATTGGATGTGTGACTCAAATTTCATATTTTTATGTATTGCTTTGTTTGCTGTTGTAGATTTCCTTCCTTTTTGTGCTTACTCGTATGTATCTGTGTCATGTGATGTCTGAGCTCATTCATTCCTTGTTCTGTTTGTCATTTTTACGTAATCACTTTAATGAACATATATTTGGGGGGAAAAAAGAGGTTACATTACATTTTTTACATCAAACTCACTTTGATTTGTTTTGTAGCATGCACCTTATGATGCCATGGTCCTTGTGTCTTTGTGTTGGTATGTGGACCAGCAACTCAAAGCTACAGAAGGCAAATGGAAGGTAAACACTGTTATTATTACCTGAAACGTACACTTTAAAATGTATCTGGCTGCTCTTCACACATTGATATTTTTGTTTCTTAGGGGTCAGACGCAGTCAGAGCGATTCCCCCTCCTGAGGAGCTGGTGTTTACTGTGGACGAAAAAACTCGTAGTAACATCCGTCAAGCCAAACAGCAATACCTGGAGTCGGTGAGACAATGCTAAACACCAAAGTATAGAAGGAAAAGTCTGTTTCAAAATGATTTGTGCACAGTCTGATGTGTCTGATTGTTCACTCTATTGCTGGTTTCACAGACACAGGACCTGCAGGTTGTGTGTTATGCCTTTACAGCGTTTGGAAAATCAGCCATTAAAGAGAGGAAGCTGCATCCAGACATCTTCATTCAACTAGCAATGCAGCTAGCCTACTACAAACTGCATAAAGGGTAGGGACTACTTAGAAATGTAACTTTACTGATGTTTGAAGTCTTAACTACTATATGACCCTAAATGTCTCTTCTCCTCTCTTAGGCCAGGAAGTTGTTATGAGACCGCAATGACTCGCACGTTCTACCACGGCAGGACAGAGACGATGCGCCCCTGCACTGAGGAGGCTGTGAACTGGTGTAAAGCTATGATAGACCCCACGTGTGATGTGAGTGTATTTGTAGGGAACCCTGCACTGTCTCAAAAAGGCACAAAGTAAGGATGAGAAAGCCATCCTTCAACGATTTAACAAGTTACATAAAACATTTCCCTGTCAGGTTAATGCCAGGAGGAAAGCCATGAGACTCGCCTTTCTTAAACACAGCAAACTGATGGCTGATGCCCAGGAGGGAAAAGGTTAGTCAGCTTTACATGCATGTATGTGCTTTATATTTCTATAAAAAACTGAGCAGGGGCGCTGGTGGCGCAGTGGTTAGTGCTCGCGCCCCATGTATGGAGGCTATGGTCCTTCAAGCGGGCGGCCCAGGTTCGAATCATACCTGTGGCTCCTTTCCCGCATGTCATTCCCCACTTTCTCCTTAATTTCTGACTCTATCCATTTCTGACTCTACTGTCTCTCCATTAAAGGCACAAAAAGCCCAAAAATAAATCTTTAAAAAAACAAAAAACACTGAGCAAACATTTGGACTATGGAGCTGCTCTACTATTTAACTAACATCATTTTTTCCCTACAATTTAAAAAATGTGCATAAAGGAAACAACAGCTGGACTTTTACAGCAATTGCTGAACTGTTAAAACCATGATGGATAAATAAAAATAAATAATCTGAAACACAAGACATCAACAGGATTGAACAAAAATTTCCAAGTAACAGGTTTATTTGAATCACAAAAAGTTCAGCCTAACGTACAAGCTAGCTATTTTTTATTGTCCTTTATGTTGAAGAAAAGGTTTTGTTTGTAGTGTGGCTAAGGATACAAGAACTCAAACACAGTGATAATCCTACTCACATCTTTCTGTCAGCTAATGTGTAAATAGACATTTGCAGCTGGTCGCTTTGACTCGGCACTAAACCAAACAATGTACAGACAAAGCCAGTGATGATGCCAGCAAAGGGATGTGCCTGTTGAAGCGTCATCATCTCAGCGCTGTAATACTTGTGCACTTCTGTTCTCAGATTCACTTTTTTGGACTCCATTGTTACAGTTTGAATTCTAATATTACTTGTTGTAGAGACTATATAATGAGTAGGGCTTTTTATGGCAGAGCTCTGATGTGCATCTTTTTTATTAAACATATTATTTTGTCAAATTGTCTCAAGGTTTTGACAGACATCTTCTTGGGCTGTATCTTATCGCCAAAGAGGAGGGACGTCCCACTCCAGATCTCTTCATGGATCCCCTCTATGCAAGGAGGTACTCGCTGTAAAGCTGATTTATTTATGTGGAACTGTTGTTCACTGCTTATCACCATATACCTGTGCGTGTAGAGGAAAACTGTATACGATCTAAATGTCAGTTCTTTTTATTTATGGTTGGTATGTTTAAAACATCAAAAAAGAAGCTGAATCACAAAGAAATTGTATTTTTTATAGATGACACAAAAGAGATTCTACTGCAATACAGATAGGACATTGCAGATTATTGATGTCAGATTAAAATAAGTGCATGTGATGTGTTTGTCTCTGCCTGTAACTCTGTGGTGTTTGTGTCTGCAGTGGTGGTGGAGGTAACTTTGTGCTGTCGTCCAGTCTGGTGGGCTACACAACAGTTCTGGGGGTCGTCGCTCCCATGGTGCACCATGGCTATGGCTTTTTCTACCGCATCAGAGATGACAGGTAGGCAGACATGACATAAGAATGTTTTCAGAGGGTTTCTTCTGCATCTGAAAATCTCAAACTTGAGCAATGTTTTTGCACTGTATAAACCTAAAACAATCATAAAGCTACAATGTTGTTTTTTAAAATCCTTTTTTATTATCCAATTTATCAGTAACACTTTTTCTTTGTTCAACAGTATGGTTCACATTTATAAAGTAGTGAAACGACTAAATTATGTGAACTTTCCCAGCAATCTTAGAAACTGCCGTCATTACTCTTCACTGTTATTTTCTCCTGTAGGATTGTGATCTCTGTCTCAGCGTGGACATCTTACCGTCAGACAGATGCTGCATCACTTTTCAACAACTTCAGTAGCTCCATGCATGAGATGCTCCACCTGGCCACCACATCTCAGCTATAGAGTCACACACAACAGACTCGCCCAATTGAACATTATATATGACCGTTAATGCTCACACAGTTTGCATACCACCAGTTTATAGCCGACAGCTAGCGATAGTCCTTTTTGTTCTCAGCACAGATCAATGCAAAGGTAATCAGTGCCATCAGGGGATAGCCACTGGTTTTAAGAGTTATAAAAAAAAAATCCAATGTGAATGTTTTTCTTCCTGCTGTAAATATTTCCTGATTTTCCTGATTGTAGTCAAATTTTTATTGAGAATTTTTAATTTGAAACCTGACAGTATTAAAGCTAAGGTGAGGCTAAGGATCGAAGAATATAATTTCTGGCTGCTTCGAATGTTCAGATTTTTTTCTGTGAAAATAAAATGGCATTCCATATCGAACCCATGAAGGTAACTTTTGATCAGTTAAATTGTTCATGTTTTTAATTGATGATCAAAAATGAATGAAGAGCAAACAGCCATACATGCTTGCTGCAAGTTTGTCTGTGCAAAAAACTTGCACAGATCATGGATTGTAGATTTTTGTCCCTTATAATTTACTTTGGATGCATATTAGAGAAAGATATTTTAAAGCTGTAATGAACAGGAGTTCAGAACTGTTATATTCCATATGAGGTAGACACACACACACAGTTTATATCTCTGCATTTAAAGCCTTAAACCACTCTGTTATCTGCTTGTTATGATTGACCTTTTCTTAAATGAATAAATGTTAATAACATTATTGTTATTGCTTCAACGTATAACTGAGAAACAGACCAATATTTTCTATGCTTGATCATAATTGAATGTGATTCAGGAACATCCAGTAAGGTTGTCTCGACATGATGATGAGAAAAACTGCTCGATTTCATATCTTTGTCCAAATAAAGAAATGATGTTGAAACAAAGTGGTGGCTCATAAACTGAATATAAAACTTTAATAGTTAAATAAAAGCATCTTTTACAGAACAATAAATCTGAGAATTTGTTAAAACAAGAAGTGATTACTGTCAAATGTATGTGAACAAACATTACATCCTGTTGAGCTCTGTGAACTTTTTCAGGGTTTACATTTCCAGGCACTGATCATTTTTGTGTTTTGCTGTAGACAAAACAAACTGCATTATTATAACAATCAATAAATTATCAAAAAATCTGCAAAAAAGTACAATATAACTTACATTTTTTGGATAATCCCTTTTGTCAGAGGCATGGCTGGGGCACTATGGTACATAATAAATCCAGTGTATTCACTTAAATCTCTTGAACTTGACACCATTTTGCACTTTACAGAAGTTGGTCCTAGAAATCAGAAGCTCCAGAGAAATCATAACTGGTAATAAAGGAGTCCCAGTGTACGAGGCACAAACTTAAATTAAAGGTTTGAAACAAGAAGAATAACAAAAACGAGTGCACAACGTGATTATTGTTTACACAGGAGGCTATTTGCTTTGTAAGGCTGATAACAATCGAGTGACGTGGTAAGCTCTGACAGTGAGCCATCATGCACAACACTTGACCCCGCAAACTGAAGCAGAGAAATGGACTTTAGTCATTGAGGTCATCGATTAAACTTTTATATTTTCCTTGCTGCTGTGTGTCAAACTGTCCTCTGTATAAAATGCCCTCAAACACAACGTCTTACAACAATAGTACAGAAGTTATACTTTGACATTTGTCTGATCTTTACCAGACTATGTAGCCAGATATACAGAAATCACAAGAAGGCCACGACAGCTTTAAAGGCCACTGTCAGGTCCCATCTTTACTGTTCAGATGATGATAAAAGGCATGCGTGTTGAATCCAGCCCTCTAAAGATCAAAATTAACCGGTGAGGTATTCTTCCTTATTCTCTGCCGTGGCCCATCTGTGTGGTGACCAGCATGTGGTAGACTCCCTTCTTGGCCAGCAGCTGTTGATGCGTCCCCTGTTCGACCACCACTCCTCCCTGGAAGACAGCGATGCGGTCGGCGTTTTGGATGGTGGACAGACGATGGGCCACGACGATACACGTCCTGCCCTTACTGGCCTGGTCCAATGCCTCCTGCACCACCTGTAAAGAGCACAATGATCCTCATGTGAGCTTATAAGAGTCATTTTATTTTTATTAGCCTTTGTTTCTGTTGATCCTTCTTGTGTCTTGTATGAGAAAGTAGGCTTGTCTTCCTTACACAACAGAAGCACAGAACATTGGTACATCTTTCTTTGCAAGGCTGAACTACAGGATTCAGCTGAACACCGCCCGATTTGCTACTCTATCCACTGTCCTTTCAAATAAAGGCAAAAAGCTCCAGAAAATCTTTTTTTTAAAAGAAGAAGCTGGCTTTGTTTTGTTTTTCCTCTGTTTTTAATGATCTCAAAAAGAAGATCAAATGACACAGAAAATATATCTGTAAATGAGGATTACTCCTCAGTGGACCCTATCTGTATAACTTATACCTGACCAAATTTCCACTTGGCACTTAAGAAGTATTTTTTTATTCTTCAACAAACACTCCCACACATATTTTCCCTCTTCTAAATCATGTTTACATTCTTACCTCCTCCTGTATTTGTGTGTAGCTGTATTGTTTAGTTATACTGTATATATCAAATTCTGAATTCCCACTCAATATTGGTCAGTGCTGGGAAGAGAAAAAGATAAACACTCACCTTCTCACTCTCTGTGTCGAGGGCGGAGGTAGCCTCGTCCAGGAGCAGCAGCCTGGGGTTGCGGAGGATGGCTCGGGCTATGGCAATACGCTGCTTCTGTCCGCCTGAGAGCTGCGTCCCCTTATCGCCTGCCTGAGTTTTGTACTTCTGCTCGCACAAACAGAGGGAAGGGGAAAGGGGGTACAATAATATTGTTATATTGCCAAAATAATCACAGAAGAATCCACAAACTTCACCTCTCACTATTATCACTATTAAACCTTTATGCTAAAGAAATGATCTAGTTACTTCATAAACTAATGAAAAGACTTGATACTGCAAGAGATAAGTGATTAAATATCAGAAGAAGTTGAAACCAGACACCAGTTTTAATTGTTTTATTGTATTTGATTGAAGAAAATCTATTATATTTGGCTCATTTGACTTTTATATTGTCTCCTGCACTGACAGACACCTCAGCTAAAGTGTCATGCTTTATCACTGTGACTCAAAATATTAAAAACATAAACTAGCAATACTCCCATACAACGTTTTCCCTAACGAAACAGAGTCTTACCATTTCTACTACTTCTACCTCGAACATGGCTGCCTTGTGACACATGATGAAAAATCCCAGCGGTTACCTGTGGCAGTTCTTCGATGAAGCTGTGAATGTTGGCCGCTTTAGCAGCTGCCATTATCTCCTCCATGGAGGCAACTCGGCTGTTGTCTCCGTAGGCGATGTTTTCAGCCAAGGTGCAGTCGAACAGCACTGGCTCCTGGGATACGATGCCTATCTGCGATCTCAACCAGTGGATGTTCAGATGTTTTATATTCGTACTGTCCATCACCTGGAGGAGTCAGTGGTAGAACATGATAGGGCAAAATGAGAAGTTGGGGAGATGTCTTAAACCTGCAACAATCCATTTTGGGCCCAGCTTTAAAGACAAAAAAGGCTTACAAAAACAAATAAAAAAAAGAGACCTCAAAGTGAAGTAGGCACAGAAAAAAGAAATTAAAAATTTAAACCATCCAGAAATTTCTTCTGGCTTACTTGTAAGAACTAAAATGAATACTATTGGCCTCCCCCTTTTTAGGTCTTCATCAAGGGAAATATCCGGTTATTTGGCAACTAACTTATATTCCTATATTCACCAGCTGATCTCTTATTAGCTAATAAACAAAACAATGACCCCAGAGACCATGGACAAAGCTGTCTGAAGAAAATAATGGGTTAGTTTGTTGATTCAAGCAATCCCTTTCTGTATCCAAGTTGCCTGGTGAAGCACTGTTTTCACAGAAAGATTGGTTTCAGCCACTTGAAAAAGTCAACAATGGACCAAATCAAACTGAGAGATAAATATATATCAAAAACAGGATTATATTTCAACCAGAGGAGCGTCTGAAGAGTGTTCGGAACAATGACCTAGTGCTAATAAAAACATCAAGATAATGGGATCATTTTCCTTAGAGGACACCTTTATGAATCCCATCAATATACAATGCAATGATAAGTGCAGTAAAGATAAAACAATACATGCCACACAGACCGCTTACTGTCTCCAGGTCCCTGTCTTGTCAGTACAGTGCTGTAAAACCGATCATAAATACCCTGGCTAGCTAACCATTAGCTAACTGGCAGTAGGTGAAGAGGCACAGGCCTTTGACACAGAGTGTGGGTGTGCTTTTATCTCCTCACCACTCTCCCCTCTCTGGGGTCGTAGAATCGCTCCAGCAGCTGGATGGTGGTGCTCTTTCCACAGCCACTGCTCCCCACCAAAGCCAGAGTCTCTCCCTTTTTCACCCTCAGGTTCAGCCCTTGCAGGATGGGCAGATCGGGGCGTGAAGGGTAGTTGAACTTGACATGATCAAAGTACACGTTTCCATCAAATTTGTCCTACAGTTTGAGGAGATGAAGCAGAGTAGTGGTGTGTTAGCATGTGTGTAATAATATGTGGTATTTCTTTTTGTTTGACATGTCAGGCTCGTGTGTTATGTACCGGTGACTGTCCTGCATCTGACAGATTATCAATAGCGGGCTCTCTCTTTATCAGGAACAAGAGGTGGGCGGCTGACAATTTAGCCTTAGCGTAGTTTGGAGCGAAAGAGTTGACCTCTCCGACAGCCATGGCACCAAACAGAAGAGCGGAAATCACACTGGGAGAGAAGGTTACATGCACATTAGTTTTAACACTGAAGAGAGTTAAGGAAGGTTACCAGGTATAACATTAATATCACATAACTGATGACCTTCACTTTTCTTGTGTACATTATACACAAAAGCTCAATTTAGTCTCAGTTGTTTTTCTGGTTCCCCACAAAAGCATAACACCATTAGATGCAAGGGATCTGAGCAGCTCACAGGTTAAAGGGGAATCCTAAGACATCACCACCATCATCAAGAGTGTAGGTGTTCAAGAAAAAGCTGGGTCTTTAGCCTTTTCTTAAAGGTGGAAAGGGGCTAGTTAAGGGGGAGCCATTTTTGTTGCTGTTTTGTAAGCGAGCAGCAGGGTTTAAATTTGATATGAGCAGTAACTGGGAGCCAGTGGAGGGAGATGAACAGCGGAGTGACATGAGCTGTTTCGTGGTCTTGGCAGTTCTTAAACTGGATGAGAAGTCATCAGACTCTCTGGATTTACTAAATGTTTCTCTCAGCTGTCCTAAACCCTGCCCTTTGCCCTCTGAGTCAGTCTATTTAACAACTTTGGCCACAACAACTATTGAATAAATTGCTAAAGATTTTTGTGAAGAATTCTTGTTTTTTTTTTAAAAGATGTGATTTAAATGTTTGTCTTTACATTTGTTGTTTTCTATAGCAATGACAATAAATATATATTCTATGTTGTAGAATGTCTCATACTGATTGATCTCCTGACTCGTCCTTCCACCATGAGGTGGAAGTTTCTTCACACAATATTAGATATATTTAAATGGCTTTTGTTTAAGATTCCTGTCCCACTTTATATAAATAACCTGCTATATGATAAGTTTGGTGCCCCATTCACTTTTTCTTCAAAGGTGAAAATGTCTTAAGTCGAGAGCTTTCGTAAATAATAACACCAAATGTGCACAAGACATTTGGTTTGTATTCTGTATTTGTAAGTCTGACCTCAGTAGTACTGATGCTAATTAGAAAGTTATCATGCCAAGACACTGACCAAAGATAATGAACATTAGAACAATAACCTCTTCAGAGACTTAGCTTGTGATAAAATGTTGGTACACTAATATTAGCATTCAGCTTAAAGCACTGCTGTAATGCCGTACAGCGTAGGA